AAACATACAGCTGCGTGACATCAGCATAACAGTGGAAGCTAATTCCATGTTTTTGAATAATTTGACAAAGAGGTAGCATATATTAAGAAAAAAGTAGTAGGACTAAAACAGAACCTTTCAGAATATCAAACTTTACCTTAGTATGCATAGAGAAATCACCGTTTACATCTATGAACTGATAGCAACCTGACCTAGGAGAGGGTTGTTCCCTTAATGCCAACAACATTTTCTAGTCTACCAAGGAGAATAGTATGATTGATGGTATCAAAAGCTACACTAAGGTCAAGCAACAGAAGCAAGGAGACACAACCTTGATCAGAAGCAATTAGTAGCTCATTTACCACTTCAACCAGTGCTGTCTCTGTGCTATAATGAGGCCTATATCCTGTCTGATACATTTATGAATGTTATGAATGTTATTCCTATATAGCCACGAGCATAGCTGCTGTGCTACAACTTTTTCTAAGATCTTGGAGATAAAGGGGAGGTTTGGTATTGACTTATAGCTGGACAATTGACAGCGGTCAAGGTCAGGTGTTTTTTTAAATCAGGGGTTTGATAACTGACAATTTAAATAATTTAGGTACCTACCCATAGCTATGGGAAGAATTTATTATTTTTAGAAGGGGTTGGATTACTTCTGAAATTATCTGTTTGAAGAAAGATGTAGGTAAATTAATATCATATACAAGTTGATGATTTTGATGAAGAAGTCTGAAATTAATTTGGTCAGTGAAATGAGTTCGCTCTCTCGAAAGGGAGTAAGACATTTTAATTGTTGATCTGATATTGTTATATTATCATCATCATCATCATCTACAGGTTAGTTATAAGACTGTCTGATAAAACAATTAATTTTTTCTTAGTTAATTTTGCTACAGTATTAAATAAGAATCTGGGATTATGTTTGTTACCTTCAATTAAGGTGGAGAGATAGACTGATCTAGCAGCATTAAGAGATTTTCTATAGCTCAGGAGATGTGTGACACAATGTGTAGACACATCCAATGTCCTGTTCAAGGTCTCCTGATAACTAACTCAAGTCATTGTCAGGTTGGGTGGGGAGCGTCGGTGTACAGCATTCTTCAAATCTCTCCAAAGACATTCAATCGGGTTCAAGTCTGGGCTCTGTCTGGGCCACTCAAGGACATTCACAGAGTTGTCCTGTAGCCACTCGTTTGTTATCTTGGCTTTTTTCTCATTTGTAAGTCGCTTTGGATAAAAGCATCTACTAAGTGAATAAATGTAAATTTAAATGTGTGCTTAGGGTTGTTGTCCTGTTGGAAGATGAACCTTCGCCACAGTCTGAGGTCCAGAGCGCTCTGGAGCAGGTTTTCATCAAGGATGTCTCTGCACATTGCTGCATTCATCTTTCCATCGATCCCACTAGTCTCCCAGTTCCTGCCGCTGAAAAACATCCCCACAGCATGATGCTGCCATCACTATGCTTCACTGTAGGTATGGTATTGGTCAGGTGATGACTGGTGCCTGGTTTCCTCCAGACATGACACTTGCACATTCAGGCCAAAGAGTTCAATCTTTGACTTGGTCTTGGTCTGAGAGTCCTTCAGGTGCCTTTTGGCAAACACCAGGCGGGCTGTCATGTGACTTTTACTGAGGAGTGGCTTCTGTCTGGCCACTCTACCATACAGGCCTGATTGGTGGAGTGCTGCAGAGATGGTTGTTCTTCTGGAAGATTCTCCTCTCTCCACAGAGACATGCTGGAGCTCTGTCAGCATGTCCATCTGGTAATGGTCACCTCCCTGACTAAGGCCCTTCTCCCTAATCACTCAGTTTGGCCAGGTGGCCAGCTGTAGGAAGAGTCCTGCTGGTTCCAGACTTCTTCCATTTATGGATAATGGAGGCCACTGTGCTCATTGGGACCTTCAGTGCTGCAGAAATGTTTTTGTACCCTTTCCCAGATCTGTGCCTCGATACAATCCTGTCACAGAGGTCTACAGACAGTTCCTTGGACTTGGTTTCTTGCATTGTTAACTGTGGGACCTTATATAGACAGGTGTGTGTCTTTCCAAATCATGACCAATCAACTGAATTTACCACAGGTGGACTCCAATAAAGTTGTAGAAACATCTCAAGGACGATCAGTGGAAACAATGCACCTGAGCTCAATTTTGAGTGTCATGGCAAAGGTTGTGAATACTTATGTAGATGTGCTTTTTTTGTTTTTTATTCTTAATAAATTTGCAAATATTTCAAACAAACGTCTTTCACGTTGCCATTATGAGGTATTGTTTGTAGAATTTTTAGGAAAATAATTAATTTAATCCATTTTGGAATAAAGCTGTAACATAACAAAATCTGGAAAAAGTAAAGCGCTGTGAATACTTTCCAGATGCACTGTAACAACTCTGTCCGGTCTTATTTCCTCTACCTATGTTAAACCTATTATGATGGCAGTTATCTCTATTGTTCAATGTTCTTTCATCTGCCGTACCAGGCTTTTTTTCTCTGCATGCTTATCTGGTTTTTAATCTGTTTTTTGTTGTTCTGTTTTTTTTTTTATTCTTATTTTGTCCTGATTAACCTGTTTGCTGATCACCAAACTATTTGAATGTTTTTGACCACAACATTATCTTGAGTTTTTAATTTTTTTAATAAAGCGCTTTCTGCAAATGCAGCTGTCTCTGCCACATGACAGCCCCAACCTGGGTCCATAGTTAAATTGATCTACAACTGCAACAAAAAAAAGCAAAGAAATGAAACATGAATTTTGTACTGTATATTGTTCAATGAGACTGTTTCTCTGTTTGGATGCTTAAAAAGGAAAGCACTCTAAGAAACAGACAATTACCAATAGTGCAATTTCTTAATCAAAGTTTTAAAAGGGGTCTTGATCTTGGCAGAATCCACAAACACATCTGAAGTTATTTAATCACAAAACGACAGGCTTTCAAGTCAGATCTATGTGGCTGGAATCCTTCTGCCACAATTAAGAATGAAAGCCATTTAAAATAAATAACACTATCACCGAGCTGTTCTCATTTGACTTCATGTCCATTTGTGTGGGGTCCTGCTGAGTCCGCTATCAGTTAATATGCTCTTTTAGTAGTGTAGCAGTAACTTATTAGAGATCTCAGTGGGAATGCAGGCCTCATGGCGTCACTCACTCCTCTTCAATGAAAACTTTGGCACAGTTTATGCAAATCAAAGCACATCAATTGAGAAAGGATCACATTTTCCACCCTTAAAGGATAATGTTAGTGTTGGAGAATGATTGCTTTATGAACGAAAGGAAACCGTGATTGAATTCATTAACATTCAAGTACATTTTTAGAGGACATTTGGAAGTGAGAATGTTCTCTAAAATCTTTCTGTGATTTTTATTTATTTATTTTTTCTTTTTGATTTTAAATGTAGCTGTTTAAATGTTCAAATTTCCTCCTTTGCAAAATCTCATCAAATAAGTCTGTAGACAAAATGATTTTATGCTAAATCACACAGGGTCTATTCTGTAGTTGTTGTAGTTGTAAGTCACAAGTCACAGACTATATTTTCCAGTCTTGCAGGCAGCTTCATGACATTAGCATGTGATGCCAAAGTAAGAATGCTGGAGCACAGCTTATTTTAGTCCTTTTTCAGGTTTCAATGGCTGACTGTAATTCACTGGCATCACTTTTCTTGTTTCATTTCTTCTAGCACTGCCTGGCAATGAGATATGTTGTCAGAACCCCAGTTTCTGCCACCTATCGGGACATCAACTGTCAGAAACATGTCATAGCATGCACTAGGCAGCATCTCCTTGGCATAACAACTTAGGAATTGTCTCTTCAAGCATTCATAAAACATTATAAAGCTATCTATAGATTCCTGAGCAGAAGTACATTTTAAATGAGCATATAATATTTTAAGATGTTATATCAAGCATCTTTTTGTGACATATGGCACAAATACAAATAGTGTGGCATTTATTTTGGTGCTTTATCCAGTACAAAACAGCAGTGACAGATTTTCCATTGGCCAACCAAGCTGACTCCACAAAGGAAATGGAGAGGCACCAGTACTATCTCTGAAATGCAGTGACATGGTGTCCTGTGGATTAGTTGATCTGTCTGCTTTTAGGAACTTTCAAGACAACACGGAATGAAACAATAAGTTGAACCTCACAAACTTCAAGTAAAAGAACCAACAATATTATTGAATCTGTTTTAAGTTAAAAAAACAAACAAACAAACAAACAAAAAAAAGCTAGAATGTAGATATCTATAAATAACGTTTTTGTTGAACGTGTGGGTAGCAGTGGAATTTCTTGTCCAGGAGAAATTCTTCTTGATTAATGTCATCAAAAAATGTGAAATAAGTTTACACCACTGTTTCCAAGCTTGGAATGTTAACACCATATGTAAATGATGTCCATACAGTGTATGGCCATTTGATCTCAGAGAGAGTCAAATTGTCTCATACTGGAGTGGTGTCTTTGTAGTTGACACTCTGTCTTGCATGTCAGAAGGTCAGGGGTTCAAGCCCCAACTCCACCAAGCTGCCAATATTAGGCTCTTGAACAAGGCCCATAACCCTGTTGGTTATCATGACTGACCGTGAACTCTGGCCCCAGTTACTCCACAAGCTGAGATATGTGAAGAAAATAATTTCTGCACTTTAAGATGTATGTGACTTTTGTTATACTCGTGCTGAAACCCGGGAAGGAAGAGGGGCATGCTGTCGGAGAGCTCTCGCCGCTGTGGAAGGATTGTGATGCTGAGGAGGCAGTGGTGCTGGAGCAGATGCCAAGGAGGACGGAGGAGTCACTGCCATCCGCTGGGGGAATCGCTCCCCAAAAGGGGAAGAGCAGTTGATGTCCTGGAAATCATTGAAACACAATTAAATCTCATATTTGTCATTTTCAGCACAGTATGTATGGTGCCATACTTCTATGATGCTATGATACATGGACAATGTCCTTTATCATATTAATTATTTTCATCGGCATATTAATGGTGTAGGGTGTAAATTACTTAAAGGTACCATTAAGCAAGTCAGACAGAGGGCAAACAGATTTGAACCAGGCACCCCTTGACCTGCAGTCAAATTCTCTACCACTGAGCTATATCCCCAAGGGAGACAGATTTCTTCCTTTTCGAGTTGCACTGGCTGTCTATCGTGATTGTCCAGAATACAATATAGCTTTGTGAGACAGAGACATTGATCAGGTAGATGGACGCAACCTTCCACATCACAATGATCGAATTTTGCTGTCCCATAAAGCCATACTCATTAGAGCTAATTAGCCTGTTCTGTCATCTGAGCACTGCAATTTCTTTCTCTTAGCCTGCTAATATTTCTGCTATTATAACAGCTACACTGTTCCTGTTCCTAAATCTTGTACACTTGATTTCACTCCAACACACACACACACACACACACACATTCACTCACAAGCTCACTGACTCTCCTGAAATACAATTTCTCAGCTCCTATCTCAGCATGTATTGATCAAGTCTGACTGGTCGATTCTCACCACAGATCATACTAGCGAGATCTGTTTAGGTAAGACTGGCTCTCAGCATGTTCACTGACAAACATTGATCATTGTTAGAGGGAAAAATATTGAATTTTCCTGGACATGGACTCTGAGGTCCTGTTCTGTTCGTGTTGGTTGATTAGGCACTTGAATATCATCAGGCCGCTGCTTGCAAGAAATTCAGGTCACGCTAATGTTGTGGGGTAGAGAAAACTTTTTGCCTTGACTAATTAAGCATTCACAACAGCATATAAATTTACTCCTCATAAATTCAAATATAAAGAAATGTATTAAATAGTTTTAAAAAGTTTTATGAAAAAGTATTATTTTAGATATCGAAAATATTAAAATTCAATTTCATTTAACACTGTGCCAGCTGCACAAACAAATGCACTGTTCAGAATACTAATGCACCAGCTTAATGAGACAAGGGATATTTTTTTCAATCACTTCAAAAATACTGGTGCATATACTAATCAAAATGTATTTTAGTTGCTAGGTCGATTTTACATAGCCCAAACAATCATTATATCCTGAATGAAATTGTGTATTTCCGAAATATCCACTGAAAGCCAGAAATGCCAATATAGTGTATAGTATACTGTTCTCCTATATTACCTCTAAAGCTTTGCTTCCATAGTTTTTCACGGTCTGATTTTTTCCCAAGTTATCATGGGTGCTTCTGCAGTAGTTTTTTATCACTACACTGGTTCCCAGCTTAAAGACACAACAACTAAGAATTCTCAGTTTGTATGAAAACTAGCAATGAGCTAGGCTATCTGGAAAGATGGCTGTCTAACCTTGCCAAAATGATGGATTAGCCATAAGATACAGCATCGTGACTCCATATCCCTATGCCTAATACTGTATGTACTGTATGTTTGGATTACAGACCTACAAAAACCAAAAAGGAATTCACTGAGGTAACAATTTGTATGAATACTAATTGTGCTATTACCAGACTAACACAAGTTTTATCAAAGTTTATTAAGGTGAACCAACTTAATATTTAAAAAAGTAAATAAATACGCATGCAACCATTGGTTTCAATCCCTGATTTAATGATTATAAGGCACACTACCACCGCACTCAAGAGCTTTCCCCATTTTCACTCAAAAATAACCAAACAACGTATTAACTTATTTGAAAGTATTGTCTACTCTTTTCAAATGAGTATTTTTAACTTTCTATATTTAATAGCTGCATCAAGTTAAAGAAGATGGACAACCAGAACACACAGACACATGCTCACTCTTTGTTTCTATTATTTGGCTGTGAGTAGTACCACATAAACATATGGAGATAAACGTCATGAAATCATGTGGATGCTCTTATCACCACCATCACCATCTTTTCCAGAAAATTGTAATCAGTCCTATTATCACTGTGAACACTGTGCCTGAATGGGAAGAACAAAAAAATGATTATTATAATAATTTGTAATTTTTTGTTTGAGATTTCTTTGAAACAGTTTGTGGTGATTAAACATGGTTGGCTGTTTGCAGTGTCAGTCAAATGGCCACATCCTGTAAAAGTAGACAGTTTAAAGAGGTCTGGATCACAAATGACTATACACCAGTACTCAAATGGCAGTATTTGATGATTTGTGATTTTTGACAAATATATTATGCAAAGGGACAATGCTCTAAATTTGTAGGATTATGTTTACTGACTGCATCTTGCAATTGTCCAAACACAAGATGTTGCATCATCCTTATCACTTTCCTGAAAGTCCATGGGATTACACAACATAATAAGTTTTAATGTTTGCTTACAGGTATATAAGAGCAAGATACAGTTTAGTAGGCGCTTCAAAGAGACCACAAAACAGCTCTGTGTTTTTGGTTCAGTGAAAATTAGCTGCTTCTGTAGATTCCACAGGAAGTCAGGAAAGGGAATCATTAATGCCACACACCTAAAAACAAGCAGATTGGTCAACTCTGCAGACCTGCAGATCTAGGGCTTCCAAAGTGGGGCTCATCAAGTATAGGGCCTATGGTGAAAACCCAATTATCCCAGTGTTCCAGCCAGCCTTAATTAGCCTTGTCTGATGTGCAGCAGATCCATTATGTTTCTAATTAAGTTCCTATCAGCACCCAGGAATAATGGAACATTGCACATCAAAAACACAGCGTCATTGCTCGTTTTTTGTTTGTGTAAGTATCTCATACCAATCTACTCCGAATTTGGAGAGGGTGGACTGAGGCATCCTTTAAGGAATTGAATAGGTTAATCAGAGAAGCTCTATCAGTTCCTGAGCACAGGGCTGTGCACATTCAGAACTCAAGCAGGACTTATCTCCACAATACAGAGGCAAGACCTCCATCACTCTTGTGTCTATCACATCAATACAGCTGGTAAAAGGGCATTGTTGCGTCATGCTTGCAATCTGACACACACACACACATACACACACACCATTCACTTTACATGCAATCACTGACATATAGCCAAAGTGACACTTAGATCCCTTTCTATCAGTGAGACTGAGGCTCATACAGGGTGACACGTTGAATGGTAAAAACAACAAAGGTTGGAATGGCAGTCCATAGGCAGGACTGCCATTCCAGGAAAGAAAGCCACAAAGAAAGTCACTAAGCTGATGTTTGTTATTCAGAAAGGATATTATTTGGGACCCAGCCTTTAACAGCGCAATGGTATAATATAATAGAACTGTAATTCTTGAGGTTGCGATCATTTTATACTCCTTCAATGACTGATATTTCAGCCCACCCTCTTTTTGTTTAGTAAAAAAAGCTTACAGGTTGAAGTAAACAAAACTAACAAAAGAACTTATCAAGCAAACAAGTCTGTGAAAAGGGCAATTTCTCTGAAGTCACAATGTTATTACTAAAGATTCATTCTATGAAAAAAGATAAAAACATATAGAAGCAATTCCTTTTGAGAATAAAACAGCAAATCTCTTTCTGGGTGAATATACAGGAACTTTTCAAACATCCACAGGGACACACACAAAACACACAGAACATAAACCATTCCAGGACCAAAAACAAATTCAGGCAGATCAGGCTGTTATGCAAGATGACACATTTTTTCCACAAGAAAAAGTAGAAAAAGTGAAGCAATTCTTCGCTGGATAAATAAATCGATTTATTCTTGAATGAGTGCAATTTGACATCTAGGAATTTATCAAAAACAATCAAGCCCACTCAGGAAAGCAGCATGCCAAAGGTTTCTAGTCAGCCTTGACCATCCAGACACACTAAAGAGCCACTCAGTTAGGCCACACTATCCTCCATTCCATTCAGCTCATTAGTTTATAGACACATCTAATCAAGACAGATAGGCTTCTCCAAGGACACAGAGCAGAAAGGGGGCATACAATGCTGTGGAAGGCAGGAGAATTATTATGTTTCTATGGCTCTAGGCTTGCTCAGACACTCAGATTTGTTGTTTGATCAGATATACAAGTTCTTTTTGCACTTAATAAAGAGGCTTTGTGACGGCAAAACAAGATGTCATAGCTGAGCCTAATAAAACTGTGACAAACCCAGCTCTGGGAATAGTTATGAGAATAGGACATGTAACCAGTGTAAATATTTATAGCCTATCCAAAAATCACACAGCGATTCATCGTGGTTTGTTGCCACAACGAGCCACAATGCCCACAGCCTATTGTGCACTTTGAAAGGCTCACAGTGGCCAACATACACTTTTCCAAAGGCTGACAATTTTTTATGTTCAGCTTTGCTTCTAAATCGATCTGACCCAAATTAAAAGGCTGTTGGAATCCCTGTGAAGTCTGGAACGCAGAGCCGGGTCGAGCGTTGAGCCAGGGGACAGCAGGACGTTTATTTAACTGTCCACTGAAGCAGAAATATCAGCGAGAGGCAGAGGCCTGTGCTGCCCCGGGGCCGTGTGTGAAACCAGGCAAGATTCCCAGAGGATAAGAGAAATTCTATAATGGAGAGAGATGAGATGATGAGGAGCCCAGGGCCATTTCTGGCCATTTTGGCGCCCTTGGCGAGATTCCTATTGGTGCCCCTTCACCCCCACGGGTAAGCATTAACATTCCCGGCCCTCTACAACTATATCTCCCTACCTAACAGCAGCATGCACTATCACCAGGGATACCAGATAATGGCATGCAATCATAAAGCATTACCTGATTAAAGATTTAAAATAAATGCCCAGGCCAGGTTACGTCCCTGGTTCTATCTTTCTCATGGGTAGATGAGTCAGATAAGGGCTTTGTGGTGCTCATTGGTGCTCCAAAGTGGTCATGGAGGAGCCACTGAACTCGCTAAAGTGTTCACAATAGCCAGTTTGTAATAGGAAACAGGTGCCTTATTAATGTTGCTTGAATGTTTCTAACTGCTTGAAATGTTAAAGGAAAAATTTGTGGGAGATCCCTTCACTGTATTTTCTACTAAATATAGTTCTATAAACTATAGGTTTTCCTGTAGTTTCTCTTTTGCATATACACCATACGGTCAAAATTATGTTGCTTAACCCAGACGTTCCCTTTCAATGGTAACTCAACGTTGCATGAGATACATGCTGTGGGAACGACAATCATACCCACTCCATCATACTGAGGGTATAGCCTCTATAAAAAGATCAGAGCCTGAG